CAATGGGGTATGTTGTGGCAATGGCGTATGATTGGCAATGGATTATGATTTTGAGTTGCACCATGCTTTGCAACACATTTTCCTCTCTGTGTTCCGCCTCTGGCTCTTGCGTTCTCTTGCCTTACTGCTGCGGCTGGATTGTTGGGGATTTCCCTTCTTTCCGTTGCTTGCTCTGCGGTGATGTGTCGTGCAGGATGCAGTGTGTCTCAACCCAACCCAGAACGGAAAGGGAATCACCAAGATCTATCTTGACCCTGTACGCTTGTGTTCTTCTCCCTCTAAGCCTATCTTCTTCTCCCCCCAAGCCTATCTTCTTCTCCAGAATTAACGCCACAATGCTCATGCTCAATCAGCGCGCATGTTGTCAATCGCGATCCAATCTGCTTACGGCACTAGGCTGCGAACCACTTCCGTTGTGATTGTGGCAAACTATTCAGCTGATACCGTATATGTGTAAATTACTCGTATTCGTATGCGCCCTTTCGTCTTCCCTCTCCTTATTGCCTGTCCCTCCCTCCCAGTACATGAGTGCATTCATGAGGCCCCTTGAGGTGGAGGCTGTGCCATTCATCCAGGTGACCCTCTATCTTCGTTCTCCCCTCCCTCCCTCCCTCCCTCCCTCCCTCCCTCCTTCCCTCCCTCCTTCCCTCCCCTCCTTCCCTCCTCCGCATCCCTCCCTCCTTCCCTCCCTCTCTCCCCCCCCTCCCTGGCAGTACGTCGGCACGCGCATGCGACCGCATCAGGTGGAGGGCGTGCGCTTCATGCTGGAGAGTGTGCTCGAGGTGCGCGTGGCCCGGCTGCTCCGGATGCGTGCTGGCAGACGAAATGGGTGAGGCGGGGCGGGGAAAGTTGACACGGGAGATGGGGTGATGGAGTAGAATAGCTGACACATTGGGTTGTGTGCTCCCCCCTCTGGTGTTTCCTGCACGGTTGTAGAGCCTCCCAACTGTAACCGTGCGCTCTCTGCATCGTCTCCTGTCCCTCTCCCCGCACAGGCCTTGGCAAGACTCTTCAAGTCATAGCTCTCATCTGGACACTTCTCAACAGGCACGTTTCTCTTCTCTCCTTTTCTCTCACTCGCCTGTTCTCTCCCAAACCCCTTCTCATGTTTCCCTACCCCGCCTGCCTTCGCTACTAGCATAGCATTACCCTGTCCGTTTCCGTCTCCCTCCTTCTGGTCTGCCGCTTCGTTTTTCCTCAGCCCCAAGGCGCCGTAGGCGTGCCTGCTTTGTGTGCTTTTCTCCCTCCATGCAAGCCCTTCACACTGGCCCCCTGCAGGCGCTCTGCAGTCCGCCCTGCATTGTCACATGTGTCGAGGAACCAGTGGCGCTGGCCATGCCCATCACCTATCAGGGCTTCTGAGCACACGAGAGTCACCTTTGTTCCGGCCTGCACCTTCCTCCTGCCCTTTCCCCCTGCTATGCCCCCTTTCCCGCCCCTCTCCATCCCCATCCGCAGGGCCCTCAGGGCCGCCCTTTCCTGCGCAAGGCGGTGGTGGTGTGCCCGTCCTCCCTTGACCCGTGTTGCAAGTGACCCCAATCCTTGTCCTCTCATACCATGCTCTCCTCCCCCTTCCCCCCTGCAATCCCCATCCCGCAGGGCCCTCAGGGCCGCCCTTTCCTGCGCAAGGCGGTGGTGGTGTGCCCGTCCTCCCTTGACCCGTGTTGCAAGTGACCCCAATCCTTGTCCTCTCATACCATGCTCTCCTCCCCCTTCCCCCTGCAATCCCCATCCGCAGGGCCCTCAGGGCCGCCCTTTCCTGCGCAAGGCGGTGGTGGTGTGCCCGTCCCTCGCTGGTCGACAACTGGGGGGCCGAGGTACGCGCAACACAAATGTGAGGCGCGCTGCATAGCTAGCCACAAGGGCGAGGCGCGGTACCCTTTGTCCTTGGTTGGAGTGGTGGCCAAGGGAACTTCAAGGTCGTGTGACGTGTGCTGCAGTTGGCTGTGCGGCACAAGATTGGGGCAAAAAAGCTGGGCAAAAAGCTGGGGCACAGAGGGGCTGTGCAGAAGGGCTGTGCAGAAGGCTGTGCAGAAGGCTGTGCAGAAGGCTGTGCAGAAGGCTGTGCAGAAGGCTGTGCAGAAGGGCGGCTGTGCAGAAGGCTTGGTGCAGAAGGCTGTGCAGAAGGCTGTGCAGAAAGGGCTGTGCAGAAGGCTGTGCAGAAGGCTGTGTGCAGAAGGCTGTGCAGAAGGCTGTGCAGAAGGCTGTGCAAGAAGGCTGTGCAGAAGGCTGTGCAGAAGGCTGTGCAGAAGGCTTGGTGCAGAAGGCTGTGCAGAAGGCTGTGCAGAAGGCTGTGCAGAAGGCTGTGCAGAAGGCTGTGCAGAAGGCTGTGCAGAAGGCTGTGCAGAAGGCTGTGCAGAAGGCTGTTGCAGAAGGCTGTGCAGAAGGCTGTGCAGAAGGCTGTGCGAAGGCTGTGCAGAAGGCTGTGCAGAAGGGCTGTGCAGAAGGCTGTGCAGAAGGCTGGTGCAGAAGGCTGTGCAGAAGGGCTGTGCAGAAGGCTGAGGCTGAGGCTGAGGCTGAGGTGGTGTTTCTCAAGTCCACCCGAACTCATGAGCTGCCCTGACTTGCTTGGAAACCGAAAAAGACAAACGGGGGATGGAACATGGTTGGGCAACCTCAAACCCTCACCCCCCATCTCACCTCGACTTCTCACCCTCCCTATTATGCCCTCCTCTCTCCCCCCCAACCACCACCCCGTGCCACTTCATCGTCAGTTCCGCAAGTGGCTGGGCACGGAGAGGCTCAAGGCGCTGGTGGTCAACTCCAGCTTCACTCCCACTGAGGTATGCCGCCCGCGAGGGCCAGAGGGCCAGAGGGGGGTCAGGTGGCGGGGACAGACAGCAGAGCTTGAAGCGCCAACTGCTGCTGAGGTTCAGCACATTGTGGGCGTCAGGGTTTCGGACTTCTCGAAGGTTTTAAGCCGCTACGTGGAGGGGATGCCAGTGGGTGGCGTGGGGGAGGGGGTGGGGGAGGTGGTGGGGAGGGGGGTGGGATTGGAAGAAGGAGGAGTGGGAGAGGATTGAAGGTGGAGGAAGGGGTGCGAATTGAAGGATGGCAGTATGCAGATGCTCCATGCAGATTTTTAGAAAGCCTCAGTTTCAGTGTCCAGCTCTGCTTTACAGAGGCAGGAGCGTGGAGAGGAGAGACACGTGTGTGAGCAGGTGTACCGTGGAGTGGAGGTGAGTACTGTTGGGCGGATATTGCAGATTCCTCTGTTGCAGACACGCCATGACCCTCCTTTAGCTACGGCTGCTCGGCGTGGTGTGGTATGGTGTGGCCCATGCTCGTCACGTCCTACGACCCGGAGGACTCTCGTGTGCTTTCCCATCCCATGCAGCCATCCAGCGCAACCCTGCGTGTAGGGTGGTGAAGCACAAGATCTCAGATTCCGAGGCGCCTCAACATGCCTCTACCCATCTGCCGCACTGTACCTCCAGGCGAAGGGCAAGATAGCAGACTTCAAGCACGGCATGGCATGGTGTGGCCTGTACCCATCACGTCCCAAGCCCCTTCATGCACCCGTTTGCTGTGCCTCCAGGCGAAGTTCAAGATAGCAGACTTCAAGCACGGCATGGCATGGTGTGGCCCGTGCTCATCACCTCCTACGACCTGCTCCGCCGCCACGCCGCCCTCCTCGCCGCTGCCGCCCCGCAGCTGCTCGTGTGCGATGAGGGGCACCGGCTCAAGATCTGGTGAGGAGCGTCTGTGGGGGTAGCAAGGGAGAGTGATGTCGTGACCTCAAGGGCTGCTGCTGTGAAACGAGGGGCTCTGGCTGAGTTACTGGTGAAGGACTTCTTAAAATGTTGAGAGGTGCTGTTGGGTTGATGGGTTGCTGCTGCTGCCTTCAGCTTTTCTCATCTCTTCCTCCCCCTGCGAACCACCTCTCCCTTGGTCGCTCCTGCGCTTGCAGTGCGGGCAACAAGACCATCACCGCACTGCAACAACTGGGGTGCCCTCGCAAAGTGCTGCTGGTGAGCTGAAGTGGTCATGCGTTTAACTCGTGTGTCCTATCGTACATCTGCCCCTCAACACACACTCACGTCCCGCTTTCCTCCCACCCTTCTAACCTTGTCACAGCCTCACTCGTCCCTTTCCAACTTCGTTCTAACATTGTCACGGCCTCAATCTTTTCTGTCGCTCAGAACGTCATGCTCATCCAGAGCGATTCTAATGATTTCCTGCTTATTTATATCGCGTTGGACCGAACCGCCCGTTCATCATTGAGATACACTCCTGTTCGTTTCTCCCTCCCCCCTCCCCCTCACCCCTCCCCCTCACCCCTCCCCCTCACCCCTCCCCCTCACCCCTCCCCTCACCCCTCCCCCTCACCCCTCCCCCTCACCCCTCGCCCTCGCCCCTCCCCCTCGCCCGTTCTCCCCTCCCCCCAGACGGGCACGCCCATCCAGAACGATCTGAACGAGTTCTTTGCTCTGCTGGACCTGGTGAACCCGGGGTGCCTGGGCCCGCTGCCCGCCTTCCGCCGCATCTTCGCCGACCCCATCCAGAGGAGCTGCAACCGCAGCGCTACGTAAGGGTTGCAGTTAAAGGACCGTGGCGCGGCACCACAGTGGGATGATTGATTGCATGTGGTCTGACTCTGCATTGCAGCATGTTGCATCTTTTCTGACCCCATTTATTAGTCTTACTTCCTACTATCCTCTGTGTCTCTCCTTCCCTCCCTCGCTCCCTTGCTCCCCCATACTCACACGCGTGCAGAGAGGAGGAGGTGCGGCTGGGGGAGGCTCGGTCGCAGGAGCTGCAGGCCAAAGCAGCGGCGTTTGTGCACAGGCGCATGGCTGCTGTCAATGCCGCGTACCTGCCGCCCAAATCTGACTCAGCACTGCTTCTCTCCGCCTCGCCTGCTCTCTCCCCCTTGTGCTAGAAACGCTCTATGTTACAGTTGGACCATCCCCACGGTCTTTGAGCTCTAATACATTTCCCTCCCCTCATCTCCCGTCTCTCCCATCAGCTACATTGTCTTCTGTCGACTGCATCCGCAGCAGGCACACAAGTACTCAATTCCTGCAGTCAACGGTATGTCCAGTCTGTCTTATGGTCCATGGACAGCTCTACACTTCCAGGTTTTCTATTGTCGGAATCTGTTTGCTTGCCAGCTAATGGTACCTATGCATGGATTCCGTTGTGCGCTGCCCTGACCTCCGTTCGGTACCTCCACAAAGATGATTCTTCCTCTCTTTTATTCTTTTCCACATCCCCACCACCTCTGCTATCATACCCTCCCCTATTTTCCTCTCTCCTCCTTTCTCTTTCCGACGACGACCCCATTCTCCCCCAACCCCCACCTCCCCCATCTAAACCCCCTGCAGCACGTGCGCTCTCTACTCTATTCCCCCGTCGCCACCACCACAGCCAGCGCCCTGACGGCCATCTGCCACCTTAGGAAGCTCTGCCTGCACCCCCGCCCTCGCCGCCACTCCCATGTCTTCCACTCCCGCTGCCCGCCGCACCCGCTCCCCCTCGCCTGCTGCCTCGGCCTCTGCTGGCTCTGGTGATGTGGTGGAGGAGGAGGGGGGAGATGAGGGGGAGTGGGCTGAGGGGATGGTGGGAGAAGAGGAGGATGCGGAGGAGGAAACTGAGGAGGGGGCAGCAGAGGGCGGAGAGGTGGGAGGAACGGGTGGCAGGAACCAGGCAGGGCAGAAACGTGGTGGCTTCAGGTAAACAGATCCCAGGAGGCCGATGGGAGTCCTTGCAGTATTTCTTGTGTATGGCCTCACAAGCATGTTATGGTTTCGGGTCAGGGTAGTACAAGCATGCCTTCCCCTGGTGCAGCCCTCCCACAAGCAATATCCCTGTTTCCCTCTCCCTCCTTCCTCCTCCTCCTCCCTCTCCCCCCAGGCGCCCATCCATGCTCCCCCAGCCGTCCCCATCCGCCCCAGGCGCGCCTCTCTCGCGCACAGCAGCAGCAGCAGCAGCCTCTGCTGCGGCCCTTAAAGCCCTGGGGCCCGATGTGTGGCGCCTGAGCGGCAAGCTGCACGTGCTGGCCTTGCTACTGCGGGCAGTGTTCGGGGAGAAGCAGGGGCGAGGGGGAGCGAGGGGAGTGCCGAGTCTAGTGTTACTGATGGTAGCAGTAACAGCCGCGTTCAGGACAGTGGTGGCAGTGGCGGTGGTGGTGGCAGTGGGGATAAAGTGGTGATAGTGTCGAATTTCACACGGGCGCTTGATGTGATTGAGGTGAGAATCCTTTTCCAGTACCAGCTCAGGTGTCATGGAGGAGAGGCGAGAGCGTGCATGCGATTGTTGGATTAGAAGTCTGCCTGCACCTCCTCCTGGCATCGTTTCCTCGGTGTCCTCCCTCGCACTGTCTCTCCCGCCCTCCCGCCCTCCCGCCCTCGCGCCCTCTCAACTCGCCCCACCAGGCCATGTGCGCATCCCACGGGTGGAAGACCACGCGTCTGGACGGCAGCACGGAGGCAGCGACGCGGCAGGCTCTGGTGTGTGCGTTCAACGCGGGGCGGGACGGCAGCCGCTGCTTCCTGCTCTCGTCCAAGGCGGGCGGCGCTGGCCTCAACCTTGTGGGCGCCAACCGCCTCGTGCTCTTCGACCCCGACTGGAACCCTGCCAATGACAAACAGGTGGGGGGGAGGGGAGGAGGAAAGTTGATGCCAACCGACTGTGGCTAACAGCGTTAGCGGCAGTGGCGTATGCCATCTGACTGGCGCTCTTTGACGCTAACGACAAACAGGTGGGGGGGAAGGGGAGGGGGAAAGGTGATGCCAACTGACTGTGGCTAACAGCGTTAGCGGCAGTGGCGTATGCCATCTGACTGGCGCTCTTTGACCCTGACTGGAACCCTGCTAACGACCAACAGGTGGGGTGGAGGGGGAGGGAGGTGTTGCACTGTTGGTACACACTGTTAGCGGCAGTGGGATATGCCAACTGGTGGGCGCTTTTTGACCCCGGCTGGAACCCTTCCAATGACAAACAGGTGGGGTTGAGAGGGAGGCGATGCACTGATGGCAAATAAAGTTGGTGGGAGTGTGCTGGGTTGGGCCAAAGGGCTGCTGCCCCCGACTGGAACCCTGCCAATGACAATCAGGTGGGGGAGGGTGAGGGTGCTCGTGAGGCGGAAAGGCGGGATAACAGCTGATAATGCCACCCGACTGGTGCTCTTTGACCCCGACTGGAAGCCTGCTGATGACAAACAGGTGGAGGGAGGGAGAGGTGATGCACGGTTGGCTGACACACACAAACACACACACACACACCACACACACACACACACACACACACACTCACACCACACACACACACACACACACTCACACACACACTTAGGAACGGGCATACATGCACACATCCTCGCATGTCCCTTGTAACCCCACCTCCCTGCAGGCCATGGCGCGAGTATGGAGGGACGGGCAGAGCAAGCCTGTGGTGATCTACCGCCTGCTGGCCACGGGCAGGTGAGAGGCGAAGAGGGCCGGTGAGGGACATCTGAGCAGCGGGTGAGGGGCAGTGTGGGCGGTAGGGGGAGGTTTTCTTAGCCGCCTGAAAACAGAGCAAGCCTGTGGTGATCTGCGGCGTCCTAGCTATGGGCAGGGCAGAACTCGTTGCGAAAGATGCATCTCTGAACCCACCCTGCGCCCACTGCTCCCTCCCTCCCTCGCAGCATAGAGGAGATCTTTCAGCGGCAGCTGATGAAGGGCGAGTTGGCCAGTGCGGTGGGCGATGGCAGCACTCAGCAGGGCTGTGCCAGCGGTGCCGGTGGGAGAAGTGGAGGCAGCAGCAGCAGCAGCAGCAGCAGCAAGGAGGGGCGGGTCACTTCACCAAGGAGGAGCTGCGCGAGCTCTTCACTCTGGAGCAGGTGAGTGAGCGCTCTCTGCCGTGTTCCCTTGACAAGAGGGGGTGGGAGGCCGGTTGCAAGCTGGCATGGCAGGATTGGATTATTTTGAAGGAATGATGTGGCAATCCCATTGGGTGTTCAGGTAGAGAGTGAACTCTCTGCTGTATTATGTGAATGCATGTTGCTCTCGTACCTAACACCGAAACACCTCATGTGAAGACGCTCCTCCTGCACCACTCATCTACGGTTCTCTCCTGATGCCACACGCTGCAGACCACTGCCTGTGACACTTTGGACCTGCTGCTTCGCTCCAACTCACCCCTCTCGGCCAAATGGCTCGCTGCTGCCACCACGGATGCTGCTGCTGCTGGATCCACCATCACTGGCAGCGCCACCTCTAGCTCTGCTGCTGTTGTAGCCGCGATGAGCAGTGGGGGAGGGAGACTGGCGGCTGGCATTGCAGATGATCCCTTGAGAGAAGTGACTGGCATGTGCGAGGGGGTCACATTTGTGTACCACGAGAAAACAGGGTTCGAAGGCGGCACAGAGAAGACCATCGTAGAGGCGCGTGCTGGCAGCAAGGGGCTTGCAAGTAAGCAGGGAGCACAACACGGCAGAGAAGGGACGGGAGGGTGCAAAGAGGAGGAGGAAATCGAGGAAGAGGAAGGCAATGTTGTTCCAGTGATAAAAGCTGCTACTGGTGGGGGGAGTGGTGGTGCTGTGGAGACAGGCATGTGCACGGAGAGGGTGGGACGAGCGTACGCTAGTGAGGGCACAGGTGGCGGGGCGGCAGGGGACCTGCTGACCTTCGACACCTTGAGGGCGTGGCGGATGACATGATGGAATTGTTTGGCTCAGACGTGTTCTGAGAGTGCTGTTAGTATGTGTGGGTTTATAGCTAAGGTGCATGACGGAACTTCTGTTGATTGCCAAGAATGCATTACTGAACCATGTGCAGGAGACTGATGCTTGAAAGCCACTATGCTTGAACAAGGCATACATTGGGTGACAACAAGAGAGTGCACTTATCCACCTATGGCAACAAAAATGGCAGCACACAGCTCTAAAAGGCACCAAGGCGCTGCCGAGCTGGACGAGTTGGACTATTCAACACTCCTCCCAAAGCCCTACCTTGCCTGATTGTAGATGGTAATAGTTGGTATGAACAACCATTCAGCAATCTGAGGGCCTGAGCACCAATTATCAAGGCACAATGGACCGACCCACCCAAACATACCGTACTAGCAAGGAATCATGAGAACTTACAGGCACCTGTCAGCCCGAGTAAACAGGAGCTTATCTGAAGCAGTAAATATAGGATTTCATAATGAAATTTAGGCTAGGAATCTAGCAATAATTGGTTCGTTCAGCTTGATTGATCAATGGCCTTGGAAGCACACAAAAATCCACACAATAAAGGAGAAAATCGTGTGGCTCCAACAACATGAGATCATTCACTAAAGCGTTCATGCCAAACAAGGACTTGAAGAAACTGATCGGACCCACCAGTCCGTGTGCTTCGGCCCTCCTCCCCGTCTCGCTCATGGCACTCGAATCTCGTAACCACGTTCGTCACAGCTTCGCAATGCGCAAACCCGAGCCGCATTTCGGACCACAACATTGATGGCAGAAATTGTACAAATTCGCGGCCAGCAGTTTCCATAACCACAATTCAACACATCCTTCATTGCCCCATCACTTCTCTTCCTTGGTTACGATACGAGCACAGCCGCCAATCTTGTTCTCGAGTTGAACCTCCGCGCCTTCTCCATGGGGAATCGACGGCTCCTATTGCTTCCGCTGGTTCTCTTCCTCGTCATCTGCGCCTGCACAGCGCAGCCTGTTTCCCGTCGCGGCCTGGTCAGCGGCAAAGCCACCCCGTCAGATGAGTCATCCGCTCCCAATGATGCAGTCTCGTGGAAGGCCTCTAGCGCCAGTGGTACGCCCGAGGTCAGCGCGCGTCACGGCAACTCCAAGGCTGAGAAGCACGTCCCTGGGGCCCGCGTCGAAACCGTTGGAGGAAACCACTGGCAGCAGCGCCGCGCTACAAACACGTGGACGCCAGCTGGAAACCAGCATCCGAGTCGCTCTGGCCCAGTCACAGCGCAGCACCACAAGCGCGGCACCAACGAGCGGGCCGCGCCCCACGTCCGTCCCAGCGGCGCATTCCGCGTCGCGAGCAGTGCTGACGTGGCGCTTCGCCACCACAACCCTCCGCGTGGCTCCGGAAGCGGCGGATGGGCAGCGACCGAGCAGCGCAGCAACGAGAACAGAAACGGTGCGCAGCACGGCGCGGCAGGGATTCACATGGCGGCAGCTGAAGACGTGGCGATTCGCCACCACAACTCCCCGCGTGGCTCCGGAAGCGGCAGGTGGGCAGCACCCAAGCAGGGCCGCGGCACTGCTGGCAGCAACCGCAAAGGCGGCTTCAAGGTGCACAGCGAGAACAACCAGGCGCAGCACGGCATGGCGGGGGTTCACGTGGCGTCGGACGAAGACGTGGCGATTCACAGGGGGCACGGCGATGGCGCCGCAGCCTTGCTGCCGACGAGCAGCGCCAGCCGCCATGGTGCCGCGGATCCGCGCCTCGCGCACCCCTCTGGAAATGGTGACTTGAGCGGTGGGGACTACGAAGGGGCTGGCGCTGGTGCGAGCAATGGCAGGGACTACACCGACTGCGATGGCACTGGGGATGGCAGCAGCGGCGGTGGGGGCGGCGGCATGGACGTGGGGGCGATCCTGGAGGAGCACAACAGGGCGCGGCAGGAGGTGGGGGTGGCGGACCTGGCGTGGGACGACGGGGTGGCAGCGGCAGCGGCGGAGTGGGCCAACAACCTGGCCTCCAGGGGGTGCCCTCTGGAGCACGGAGGGGCGGAGGGGCTCGGGCAGAACCTGTACTGGCGCGCACCCGCGGGGCTGACCCCTGAGGAGGATCGCATGGCGGTGCAGTCGTGGGTGGCGGAGAAGGCGGACTGGACGTACAGCCCCGTGCCCGAGGGGTGTGCGGACGGCAGGATGTGCGGGCACTACACGCAGGTGGTGTGGCGCGACACCACGCATGTGGGCTGCGCCTCCGCGCAGTGCCCTGATGGAGGCGGCATGTGGGTGTGCGACTACTCCCCTCCTGGCAACTTCGTTGGCTCCACACCCTTCTAGGGAGGGAGGCTTCTGGTGGAGAGCGGTGGTGGGATGGAGGGAGGGGTTGGAGGTTCTGTGCTGGTGATGGTGCAATGGTTTGCTAGAGCAGTGGAAGGGCGAAGCATGGGAGGAGTCTGTGAGCTCTCTTAGCTCTTGTGAGCTGCTCGCTCATGCAGAGTGTGTGTAGGCAGTACGTTTCTGATGTACCTGATGTGTTGGAGACTTTTGCACTTTACAAAAAGACAATCAGGCAGAGGACAATGGATTTCACCCATGGCAGGACAACATCGCAAAGCAAAGAACAAGGCCTGGAACCTAAGAGGGACGGAGAGAGTGCACGAAGTCGTAGCGACTGTGCCAGGCACGCACCCCGCTCCCCTGCCGTCAATGCCCTTGCTGCACTTGCGCCGCACGTGCCCTCCCTTGCTCCTCTTCACTCCCCCCCCCCACCTCTCGCGGGGATCGTCTTGATCTTCACATCGGCATCCTCACCACACTGTATGGCGGTGTCCACCTGCGATAGCACGTACTGGATGCGCAGCGAGACGCCCATGCCCACCCATGCCCACGATGCGCCACACCAATCCACCCCATAGCATGCCACAGCAGCGCGATGCGGCCAGGAAGAACCAAGTCGAGGTGGGAGGAACGGGAGAAGGGGAGGAAAACGGGGAATGGGAGGGGGCGATATGCCAGAGTGTGGGGGTGTGAAGAAGGGGGGCTAGGGGAATGACGTTGGGGCAAGATGGATGGGGAGAGATGCAAGGGAAAGAGGGGAGGTAAGCACAGGGCGGGGGGGAGGAAGGGCATGGCAGATGGGCGTTACTTACAGCGAGGTGGCAGAAAAAGGCGTGTGCAAAACAGGGAGAAACGGAGGAAGGATGGGAAGCGTGGGAGGGTGGAGTTTGAAGGAACCTCCACGAGAGAGGAAGGGAGGAAGGACTGCGATGGAAAGGAGGGCGTGTAAGGAACGAGAGAGAGAGAGAGAGAGAGAGAGAGAGAGAGAGAGAGAGAGAGAGAGAGAGAGAGAGAGAGAGAGAGAGAGAGAGAGAGAGAGAGAGAGAGGGAGGGAGGGAGGGAGATGGCGTGCCTGTCTACGTCGGGTATGTCGGAGGGGAGGAAGTTGACGAAACTGTAGCCATCCACCTGCCATGCACGCATGCAGGCCACGAGGGGGGTGGGTGGGGAGGGGAGATGTAACGCATGGCCTCTGTACAGTACACGGGCCTAGAAACGACCGTCCCAACCACCTTTCACAAATTGGCTACCTATGCTAGGTAGTGTGAGATGGGAAGGAAGGGTTGGAAGGGGAGGATTGGGATTGGTCGATACTTGGGACCAATCTGATTTTAGTTGTACAAATTGAGCACTAGTTGAGCGTTACTCCACCCCTACTTCCGCCTCTACTGGCCGCTTGATCCTACCCATGCTCTTCCCAGATCTTTCTACTTTCCCCATTGTAGCTAACCTCTCCACTCACCTCCGTGCACTAGAGACCAGCTACCGCACTGCTAGCTCTGCCGCCCAGCTTACTGCCTTCCCCCACCCTTCTGTGCTACCATGTACCTCATCGCCATGCGCCTGCCTGACCGCTTAGCCACTGCCCGCGACCACTTCCTTAGTCAGCACCCTGCCGACCTCACCCTGACCGCCTTTGTCACTAATTTGTCTGAGATAGAGACTCGCCAGCGCACTATCGCTCAGTCGAGAGGTGTTGTGGCTGTCCCTATCTTTCAGGGTTGTGCGCCCTCCCAGTGCACGTACGCTGACGTCTCAGCCGCAGTTGCCATGACTGCGCCTGCCCCTGAGACAGCAGCTGCGGCTTACCCACAGCAGCGCCAGCGCCGGGGCCGCCGTAGCCCCAAGGGAGGACGTGGTGGTGGCGCTAGTGGTGGTGGTGGCAGGGACAGTGGTTCTGACGAGGGGGCTGGAGCTACTGCCCAGGAGTAGCAGCAGTCCCCGCAGTCGCAGCAGCAGCAGTCGCAGCCACAGCAGCAGCAGCAGCAGCCGTCGCAACAGTAGCAGCAGCAGCAACAGCCGTCGCAGCATCAGCAGCAGCACCAGCAGCAGCAGTTGTGGGCTTGCCTCTCGCCAGGGTGGCCAGGAGCCCCAGGAGGTGGTGGTCGCGGGGGTGGCCCTCACAGCGTGGCGTCCACCAGCGGCTTCGGTGCTGTGAGTTGTCAGTACCAGCTCCATACATGGTGTGCCGCCACCCGCACCCGATCCCCTGCTGCTTCTGCTGCCTCGACGACCTCTTCCGTCGCCGCTTCGGTCCAGCCTTGAACCTCCGTGACAGGCCCAGTCTGCTTCGCCACAGTGTGCGTGTGGATGACTTAGACATGGATCAGATTAGTTCTGCCTTGCATTCTCTGTATGCTGACGCTTCTAGTGTTTCCGGATCTTATTACTCTGTGTTCTCTAGCTTAGGCGTAGCACCTGTGTGTAGGCCAGACTCCCTTGCTGCGTCAGGCGTAAGACAGCTTGCTTTGTCTAGCCTAGGCTCTACCCTTGCTCCTCCGTCGTCAGCCACTACGGCGTCGCTGTCCTTCACTCTTGACTCCGGTGCGTCAGCCTATTTCTTCCGCGACCACGCCACTCTCACACTGCTTGCTGCACCGGCCGATGTAGCTCTTGCTGAACCCTCCTCTGGTCTTGTAGTTGCTCGCAGCTACACTACCCTTCCATGTCCGGCGGTTCCCTCGGGATCCCTTACAGGCCTGCACATCCCTTCGTTCTCCAGGAACTTAGTTGGTGTCGGCTGTCTTCAGGACCTCGGCGTCACCAATACATTCCCTGGTCACGAGCGGTGCGCGCTCTGTACTGAGACCGCCTCAGGTGCCCCCCTTGCTACGTTCCCTCGGGACCCTGTGTCTGGCCTGTTTACGCTGTACACTGCTTCCCCCCCGGCGGGCGTGTCTCTCTCCGGTCTTGCGTCCACCCAATTTGTTGCGGCCTGCTCGTGTCGGTTGCTCACTCACACATCGCTGTTATGGCACCAACGCCTAGGTCACCCCGCGCTCCCACGTCTGCGTCACATGTAGCAGCCCAGCGTGACTACAAGATTCACTCCGTCAAATTCTCCACTGTTTTTTGTCAGGGCAGCCTATAAGAGCAGGTCTACCTGCGCCGTCCTCAGGGCTTCACCGGTACCTTCCCTCCTGAGACCCAGTGGCTCCTCCGACGCCCGGTCTACGGCCTGCGACAGGCGCCCCGTGAGTGGCATGACACGCTACGTGCTACGCTAGCTGATTTGCAGTACTTTCCGTCCTTTGCTGACCCTTCGCTCTTCGTTCGTGCTGGCCAGACTCCGGTCTACATCCTTGTCTACGTAGACGACCTGGTCTTTGCTACTGCAGACAGAGATGCGCTGGCCTCCGTGAAGGCTGAGCTGCTGAGGAGACACACCTGTACTGACCTGGGAGAGCTGCGCCGCAACCTTGGCCTGCAGATTCCCATGGACAGAGCAGCGTGCACCATCACTCTTACACAGTCACACTTGGTGCGCCAGGTCCTTGAGAGGTTCCGTCTTCAGATCTTCTCTGCACAGCCCACACCTCTGCCGGTAGACGACAGGCTCTCAGCTCCAGTTCCCGAGGAGTCAGTAGAGCCCAGTGGTCCTTACGTAGAGCTGGTGGGTTGCCTCATGTACCTGATGACTTGCACTCGTCCCGATCTCGCATACCCTCTTAGCATCCTGGCCCGCTTTGTGGCCACAGGCAGACACCGACCACAGCACTGGTCGGCCGCTAAAAGGGTTTTGCGTTATCTTGCAAGTACATCGGGCATGGGGCTAGAGCTGGGAGGACGCAGGCCAATGGTCCTTACTGGGCACACAGACGCTTCTTGGGAAGACGACGCTGAGACCCTCAGGTCCTCCTAGGGCTACTGCTTCAGCCTTTGTTCTGTTGCCATCTCGTGGAGGTCCACTCACTCCTCATCTGTTGCTCAGTCTAGCTGCGAGACTCAGATCTACGCCGGTGCCATGGCGGCATAGGAGCTCCGCTGGCTGACCTTCTTGCTTGCCGACTTAGGTGAGCGGCCTAGCTCTGCCACGGTTCAGTATGCTGATAACTGGGCCATGATCCTTCTGTGTCAGGAGCCTCGACTTGAGGGCAGAGCGAAGCACATCCAACTGCGGTACTTCCTCCTGCGCAAGCTTCAGCAACGTCGCCAGGCCCGCGTAGTACACTTGGCCTCGGGTGCCAACACAACCGATATCTTTACTAAGGCGCTTCCGCCTAGAGATCATCAGCGGCACCGCTTGCAGTATGGTCTAGTCCCTGTTGACTCTCACTTGCTAGGCCCTTGATTGTGTACTCCTTTATAATTATGCCTTCCAAACTGGCCTTGTGGCTTTTCTTCCAGTGGTTGGAGTAGTAGTGCCGCCCTGGTTTGCTCTGTCTTGCTTGTACTCTTTCTGACTGGTCTTCGGGCCCCTGCCTCAGAGGTTGGACTAGTAGTGCCACCCTGAGCTGCGTGTTTCTCGCTCAGCACTACCCCTTATTTAGCCTAGGGGGTGTGTCAATTTATACATATATTGTTATGTAAAAGTTATTGGCTAGATAGGGTATATTCTTAGTGGGTACAACCCAAACGCTATATCTCCCCTGTTATTCCTTGTTCTGATCATTCTTTCTTGTCTTAACATTGCCACCCTGGTCTTGCTCTTGCCTTGTCTGTACTTGTTTGACTGGTCTTGAGACCCCTGTCTCAGAGGCTGGACTAGTAGTGCCACCCTGGGTTGTTTCTCTCTCGTCAAGCACTGCCCCTATCCAGTCTAGGGGGTGTGTCAAACATATATTGTATGTTATAGTAGACTATATAGGGTTGTTCCTTAGGGAGTACAACCCATTAGGCTATATACTCCTGTATGATCTGTTCTAGTCTAACTTTTCTCACTTCAACACTCCTGAGTCACGTTCCTTACACAACGACGGGCAGAGGTTTCCGGCGTGATAGACATGCTGTAAATTTTACTTGACAGATCTGAGGGTGCACACGCTTCTTACTGGAGGAGCTTTAACGAGCTCACCTACCAACCGCAGGCCAACCCCCTATTCTGTCGGGTCCTCTCCCGATATAAATGGACTACTCTACAGAAGACTAAGCGGGCATGAACGGAGCTCTGATACCAGCTGTTATGAATTAATCAGAGTAATAACATGTAGTGTAATAAAGGAGTCATGATTCTAGAGTGTCGATACAAATGAGGGCCTGGGCATTTATAGGCACGAACAGAGCTAGCCGAGAACCAC